GAGCCCCCTGCCCACGAGCACGGTGCATTCGCCGCAGACGAGCGACGCGTCGCGCCAGGAGGCCGCGTCGCAGGCGCCCGGCGCGGGCGTGGGTGCCGAGCACCACCGGTACGGGTCCTTGAAGTTCGAGGACGGCGTCGGGTGCGGCGTGGGGCGCGGCGGACGGCCCCGACGGCGGCTTCGTCGGCGCCTCCGCCGCGCAGCCCCAATCCTTGACCCAGCACTTGGCCTGCCAGCCGGAGGCGGCGCCGCAGGGGGGGCGATCGCACGTGACGTGGCCCCGCGCGACGGCCCGCGTGTGCCCGTAGCATCCCCGGTTGTGCTTGCCGAAGACGATCTCGCAGCCCTTGAAGTCCGGATTCGCGTTGCAGAGGGACATGCACTCGAGGGCCTTCTCGTGGGACTCGTCGTGCCACGCGGCGCCGGACGCGAGCTGCACGACGCCCGAGTCCGGGTCCGCGGGGCCGTAGGCGGAGTTCCGGTCCCCGTAGTACGAGCCGTCCGCCTCGACGCAGTAGCCCCGCTCCCAGCAGTGTGCGTAGTCCTCGGCGGCGCCGCCGCCGTCCTCGATCGACGAGAAGTCCGCGGTCGTCGTCGTCGCGCCGACGACCGCGCCGACCGCGTCGCACGTGCCGCACGCCTTCTGGCAGGCGGCGCTGGCCTTGACCTTCTCCGTCGCGCCGCCGATCGTGCCCTGCTTCTTGCAGGCCTTGGCGAGCTTGGCGCCTTCCTTGTTGAAGAGGTCGTCGCATGTTTGGAGCTTCTCGACGCACGCGCCCTCGACCCACGCGCATCCTTTCTTCTTCTTCTTCTTGCACTTGTTCTGATTCTTCTGCTTCTTGCAGCTTTTCTGCTTCTTCTTGTCCGACTTCGCGAGCCAGTCCGCGTCGTCTTCGCACGTTGCGGCGGCCGCGTCGCCGGTCGGCGCGGGCGTCGGCGCGGGCGACGGCGCGGCCGTCGTCGTCGTCGTCGTCGTCGTATCGCCGGTCGGCGCAGACGACGGCGCGGGCGTCGGCGCCTCCGACGGCGCGGGCGTCGGCGCGGCGGAGAGCGCGGCCGTCGTTGTCGTCGTCGTCGTGTCGGCCCCCGGCGACGCGCACGCGCCCGCGGGCTGCGTCTGCTCGCCCGGCGCGTTGCAGTAGCACGGCGCCTCAAGTTTGGGCTTGCGCCAGCACTCGTAGCGCCAGTTCGCGCCGTCCGGCTCGGCGATGGACGCCGTCTTGAACCAGAGGGCCTTGTTCAAGTGCCCCTCTGGATACCCCCCCTCCAAGCGTCGCGATTCCTCGTAGTCGTGCGTCGTGATCGTGTAGCCGCCGCACTCCGGCGTCGCCTCGCAGAGCGCGCGCACGCAGGCCATGTCGGCGGCGTCGCCGCCGTTCTGCCAGCATTCGTGCCGCGCGTTGATAATGCCCTGGGAGTAGTGGCTCCCGTTCTCGGAACAGGCCATGAGGTGGTCCGTCTCGCAGAAGGGCTCGCCCGAGAGCGAGATAGAGTCTCTCGAGGCCCAGGCCCCGGGTTGGGGGCAGAGGTTGCGCATGCCGCCGCAGTTGCCGTCTTTCCCCTTCCCGTTCGTGCCCTGGTGGACGAGCTTGTTCCAGATCGTCTCGTCCGGGAAGCATCGGGTTTGGTCGAGGCACGGCGGCGGGAGCGGGTCGTCGCAGGCCGACGGCGCGTCGAGGAGCGGCGCGCCGCCGACGCAGAACGACTGGTCGAGGCCGCACTGGTCGCGGCCGCGCCGGGACGCGCCGTCC